TGCTCTTATTTTTTTCCAACTGTATCTCGAGACAGTTCAGGTTTCTAATATTGGGAACTAGCCCTTCTTTTAGAGACTATTGAGATTTTTCTAATGTATGTTTAGGTATCGTGCGATTTGAATACTCTCATGTATACATGTGGGAGCAATTAAGAATTGCAGTAGTTATATATAATTCTATAGATGTTTTTCATTTTTCCTGTCGCTCGGTGGCTCGGTCTCTCTTCATCATCGCACACATACATATAATTAAGCACATATGAAGAGATGGAGATCTCGGATCCTTTAAGTAAAAGTATCATGGAACCATCATTCTCGTTAAGAATCAATAGCTATAATAAGAACTTTTTATTTAAGAAAAAAGGGCCGGGCTAATCATGGTGACAATCTAAAAGATCAATTGAATGATTATGTAATGTGCAGTGTGCAGTTTTTAATATTCTTTTTATTAAGTGCAAATACGATAATCATCTTGCAGTTGGGTACAATTAATAACGAGTCTTACAACTACGAGGCTGCGTTTATCTTCACATATGCGTACGATATGGGTCGCCCGGTTTGCCCATTTAAGTTGTAGAAAACAGTAATAACATTTTTCAAAAACTAATGTGGAACCTTTGTTTCTCAGATTGAATAGTCAGTTAAATAAAAAATCGCAGTTGTGAAAAAGTTTTCAAAACTAATAAAAATTTACAGAAAAAGCTAAGATGTTCGTTTCAGTTTATTGTTTCATTTCATCTAAGATAGTACAATATATCAAAGTAGTCATAACCATCGTAATGGATCACATTTTGCAGTCATTTGATTAGTTATTAGTGATGTAATAGTACAAAGAAAATCATGCGTGCTTTTCAAATTAGACAGAAACTCGATCATACGTTGTGATAAGGATATAAGGTTTTGGAGCTGCTCAAATCTAGATATGATATGTGTGTGTATGTGTGTAAAGATTGTCGCTATGCTTATAACACTATATGTGAACTTATTTCACATTTTATGCAAAACACAGAATTCACATCCTACTTGTATAATTCATTTTTTGTCCAATATAATATATAATTCACTGAGAGAGGCCTGTGATTAAAAACAGGTATATGTACGCACCAAAAATAGGGACATTATACAGCCAAGACTAGTTGATACGGGCACTTAATGCATTTGCCCGAAACTTTGAACAAGTCCTCGATCAGCTTTCTCCCAAAAGATGCTCTGCTATGCCTCTTTTGTTGTAATGTCCAACTTGATGGACAGCTGAATACAAGCCATTCGGACTCATCACATACAAATATATACTGAATTGATTAACGATTAAGCCTTTAATTTCCTCTCAAAATACAAAACCTTTTCCATGTGGAAGAAAAAATTTAACTCATATCATATCGTTATGTAAGGCGGAAGAGACGAACAAAAGGACGAAAATGCAATCATGACGAAGCTTTTACAGTCTCGTCTCGTCCTACGAATTTAAGGTTACAAGGCATGATGGAGAATAAGGGATTGGGGTCAATTTTATGGGACTAAGCTCTAAAGTCATCGGAGTGTCAGAAATTTTTGAAATGTCATTTCGAAGTACATTTTCAGAGCACGTGTGTGGACTGATACGTGGCTTCTTCTTTCGTCAATTCCTCTGATGACTCACCTAATAGCAATGGCAATGGGCTCCACATCTTCTGTTCTCAGCTGCTCTGCGTCGTCCTTTATTTCTTCCTTCAAGACAGGTGCCTTTTTCCCCGGACATCAAAACACAAGGATCCGCGAACCCCGATTTTAATTTCCGAAGCTGATCATAATGGAAAATCTTTTGTTCGGCGTTATCAAGTTCAACTCGAAACAATCCATTCTTCGCGCACACTGTGGTCATGGTTGCTAATTGTAGGCAACTTTTAAGAATGTGAGGTGACTTAATTTTTTTGAATATTTTAAATTCAACGTGTGATTTTTTATGATTATTAACTTATTTAGATTTAAATTTTACATTCTAAAATTTATTTAACTTTCTATGTAATATTCAACATAAAAAAGTTAATATACACATATAGACACACACGGCTTGATGACAGGTAAATCAGTAAGCCTTATTTTTGTGTTTAGATCGACTTTTTTTTTTCTGCCATCGTTTGGATCTGCTACTCGATAAATTAGTAAGATCCTAAATCACTGCTATTTCTCCTGTATTTGTGCAATGGTTCAAGTTAAGTAGCGATCGACAAACTGGTGAATCATAATTAACAGGGGTATAACCAGCGAAAAAACTAGTGTTGGGTGCCTTGGTCTTGCTATAGCAACGTTAAAGTAAGGTGGGAGAATGGAGATCATAGTTGTACTCTCCCGGTCTTTATTATAAATTTCAAATAACCAATTCGTAAATAAAAAACAATTAGCTAAAATTAGTTAAAAGTGATAAATAGGTCAGAAATATATTTTTATTTACAAATATGCTCTTGTAATAAATGAGAAAAGAAAAGAGAATATGTGGAAAAACATGATAAGAGAAATTATAACAAAAGATAAAGAATGAATAGTTAAGGATAAATTAAAAAAACTGTATTAAATATTAAGATAAACACTAAATTAAAATTTATAAAATAGACCACACTTCTCTTTTAATTTAAAGCTTATAAATAGGGTGAATAAGTTAGTTGTTGTCATTATTACAAGTAACGTGGGTTAGAGACCACAGAACTGATGATTTGTTTTCTGCGAATTCATTTGCCTTTATGAAACCAGTCGTTGGATCCACCACGTGTAAATACGTAATTTAAGGCTGGAGTTACTATAAAAGTAAATAGTAATTCGAAGTGCTAAGAACAAAGAGACATGCAAATGATTGGAGGGGCGGGGGCCCGCTTCATTTTGAAGCTATGTATGTAGCCATTTAACATGTACTCTCTCCTGTACTGGTAGTACTCTTTACAAGGGCTTAAAAATATAATTAAAATTAATTAAAAATGATGAATATATTAAAAAAAACAATTTTTTAAACATGTCCTTATTTATAAGGGGTAAGTAAGAAAAAAAATATGAAAGAAAATATATTAAAAATTTTAATGAATGCAATATATAAAATTAATTAAAAACAAAATAATAAAAACACGTTAAGTGTTCAAACAATCATACAGGGGATTTTATGAAAAGGAGCAAGGCAATTCAATTTTCAGACCCTTATTAGAAGGAAAAAAAAGACAGGAGGAAGTAATATTGAAGAATTTGATCCTATGCTTCCAATAAAGTTATTCAAAAGAAATTTTGATTGCCAAATAGATTCGCATTTACTTGCTACATATCTATCGTTTTCTCTACGAATTTTTGAAACATCCACTTCAAAAGCCGGAAAAAAAAGTACTCCTTCCGTTTCTTATTATAAGAGACATTTGATGCTTATGGCATGTTCCTATATATAAGAGACACTTAAAAGTTGTTTCTATTTTTTTGTATTAATTTTCTATTTTACCCATATTTATTGTCTCCAACTCACACTCTCTCTCATTCCCACTTCTCTTTTTTTTAATAATTTACCATTGTTCTCTCTCCTTATTAATGAGGGCATTTTTAGAAAAAAAATTATACTTTTTACACATTAATTGTTCTTAACTAATTTTAACTGTTTTTTTATCAACGTAATTTGGTTATTCGTTTTTTATAATAAGAAACGGAGGGAGTAATTTCTATCCCGTCATTCAAGTAAACCACGCATTATCTTCTTTTTATTTCTTAAACCACGCATTCATTTTGGCGGTTAGCTTGAGCAGACTCGTGGAGGTAGAAGAAGGTTAAGAGAGCAAAACGACATGCCTAACAGTGGGCCAGTGCAGGTGAAACTCTTTCTTGTGATGTATACTTTTCTTTTATTAATACCACCTTCAATTTTTAATACTACCTCCGGTCTTTAATATAAGATCTTGTTTGATTTTTTATTTGGTCCTAATTATAAGACCCAAATCTATTTTGTCTCTTATAGTTATGTATTTTTTTCCAAGATAGCCCTTTTAATAATGATAGTTCTAACCAATACACTTAATTAGCAAGGATATTTTAGGAATGACAACACTTATTTATTACAAATAACTAATTTAACTTACTTCCTTAATCTCCTCAAATAAGTCAACTGGGTCTTATAATTAGGACCAGAGGTAGTATAAGATTTAGTTTATAAGATAATTTATTTTAGACATTAAATAAATTGTATCACAAATTAGATAGGATACTAAGGATAAAAAATTGGACCATTTAATTCTTTTCAAACATAAGCATAGAATTACTTGTTCAACCTTTCATGGATATTACGAGTGTGTGAGTTCTTTTCCTTATATCAAGGATGACAAAAAAAAAAAGAGTAGATTTCAACTAATTAAATAATTAAAGACCGCTCTTGGTAAGGCTGGCAAAGAAAAAAAGGACTGCTCTTGGTAAGATACAATAACACGATGAAGAAGATTTCTCTGGACATGGATTAAGGTGTGTATAGATTAAGAATTCTGTATCTTGATATCCTTCTTAATTACATATATTAATGTGCCAAAAAAAAAAAGACCGGTTGAGAGTCAAAGCTAATGAAATTGGTTTTGCTGAGATAATTAAAAAAAATGATAGCTTTTGAAAATGAGAAGCTCAATCATAAATAGTAAAAAAATTGATGATTGAAAATTATAAATTATAAAAATCTAGTGACAAACAATTCAAAACCCCGCCTATATTCATGTGTTGCTTGAAAGTTAAAATTCAACTTAGTTGAAAATTACAATCAATAATACAATTATATCTTAAAAATTTTAATTATTTATAGACAAAATTTAAACTCTCAAAGCTTGAGTATTTAATATTAGAAAAACTAAACTGTTTACTATAAAATCACTTTAAAAAACAAGTCAAATAAAAAAAAATCTACGCTTATGGATTTCCTATTATCTCCAGTTTTTCACCACGCGCGCCCAATAATAACTTCCCACGTCGCCTCTAATCAGTAGGACGGTCGCTGGGAGAGAAAGAAAGCCTTTCAAATACGAAGAGAGACACTGACAGAAAGAACGCCTCTCTTCCTCTCTCGCATACCCCTTCGTGGCTCCGTCATCGGCTTTGCTCTGTCTCCTCATCGATCCCAACCCTCTCAGGGTTAGGTTTTCGCTCTTGTTTATTATTTTCAACTTTTTATCATCTTCTTATTCTTGCTCTGTTATGTTTTTCAACTTTAAATCGCCTGTTTTGTTTCATTTGGTGAATTCAGGACTCATCCGATGCGACGCTGAGCCTATAGACCGGTCTCGAGGTTTCATTTCCTGCAACTTTCTTTTTATTCCTGGCCAACAGGTTAGATAACGTCTTGCAATATTTTACCGGATGGCTCTAGCTTCATAGCATTATTGTCTAGTTTTAATTGTCTGTTTATGTGATGTGTTGTTGGGTGAAAAATTGGAAATAAAGTTTTATGAAGGTTCGGACAAAATATTAAATATTGGGGGCAAGACATCTGCTCTCGTGGCGTGCTGCCATCTTGATTTTTCTATAAATTTACAATTAAAATTTTTCAGCGCACGCACCTAATTGCATGTTTTCTTTTGATGCTTTAGTTAAAACCCCTGATATCCGATAATATGCATACATGGAGTAGCTTAATGATCATTACTCGCTGATTTTTGGATGGAAATTTTTATGACCTGAAAAGGGTTGTGGTCTGGCAGACCCATCAAACAGGTCACAAGCAAAATTATGAGCTGAAGTATTATACATTCTCTGAACAAATAGATCTTCCCTGAATATTGGACTAGGTCATAAAAGTCTTAGTGCCGAATAAACTTATATTTTCAGCTCTGCTTTTTAGTGCATTACCCTCTAGTTTGTATAGCCAGAAATAATGTTAATATATAAGCTGGAAGGGATTTGGCAGTTTACTTTGACATTTTTTCAGCTTATTAAGGCAAACAATTGCATTTAGTTGGTGTACCATTCATACCAGTTGTGCACTAGAACACTGAGACCATGCAGATGAAGCATCAAAGGAAAACATGCAATTAGGTTAATGCCTGTTGGGTCATACTATTTCTTAGCAAAAGCGCTTTGGCAACAACTACAGTGAATCAAGAACTCATTGACGAGGGGCAATGAGAATCGTTGGACTTACTGGTGGAATATCTTCATGGAAGAGTACTGTTTCTAATCTATTCAAATCTCATAGCATTCCGGTTGTAGATGCCGATGTTGTTGCCTGTGTATGTTTTCAGTTCTTCTTTCATTGACCTTTTATATTCTAGTTGGACCCTCAAACTTCTATTGTTCTCTGCATTGAAAAGAGGCCAGGTCTTGATGATTCTGATTTTTTCTTTTCTTTGGACTAAAAGAGTGATTTTGAGTTAAAGTGAGGTGATTTATAGGGAGACTTTTTAGTGGGGTTTGTTTGTGGTCGCTTACAGGCTGCATTTAATAAGGGTACCGGTGGGTGGAAAACAGTTGTTGCAACTTTTGGGCAGGAAATTTTACTCGATAATGGAGAAGTTAATAGGCCAAGACTTGGGCAAATTGTTTTTTCCGATCCAGATAAGTGCCAACTTCTTAATCGGTAATGTTGCTATGTGCGATTTTTCCATTTGATTTGAAGCTTGTCTTCCTTAATCAATTTTGCCTTTTCATGGCCTGTTGGTGGCCTCAAATTTCTTTGATTTCATGTGTGGAGAGGATCGATATATATACATATATATTTTACCAGTGCCACGAGTTAGAGTTATTACACTTGAGGGAGAACTTTCATGTAGGGATGCCATTATACTTTTGTCTTATTGAGCAGTAGTAGCTAGTAACTTCAATGTACCAAGCTGTCGTATAGGTGGTTGTGTAAATGATTTTTTGCGATCAATTATTGGTCCTAGCCCAAAGTTCAATTTAGATTTTGATTGCTAGGTTATGCTAGCTGATTCAGTACCCCCCTTGATTTTGTGGAGAAACCTTTGGAACTATTTTGTTTCTCAAGGTGTATTGGAATCGGTTTTTGAGTTTCAATTGTGATCTTTTTTAGATTGCTGGCTCCTTATATATCCTTTGGAATCTTTTGGGCAATTGTGAAGCTTTGGATAAAGGGCCATAGGATTATTGTTCTTGATGTCCCTCTGTTATTTGAGGCCAAGATGGACAAGTTGACAAAGCCCATTATTGTTGTTTGGGTTGACGCGGAAACACAAATTCAGCGACTCATGGCAAGGGACAGAACGAGTGAGGAGGATGCGAGGAGCAGGATAAACGCTCATATGTCACTGGATGTAAAAAGGAGTAAAGCAGACATGATAATAGATAACACTGGTTCGTTGGATGACTTGAATGAACTGTTTCAGAAGGTCTTATTGAGGTCTCAAAACCCTTGACATGGACTGAGTTCTGGCTTTCCAGGCAGGGAGCATTGACGGCTCTTGCTTTAGTCACCTTAGGTGTTCTTTTATGCAGAAAGGCATTTAATAGTGGTGATCTGTAGCTGCTTGATTTTCTTTGAAGTGTATTTCATATAACTAAATAAATGTTGTGTCATATTTTTTTTTGAATTCTCCAACAAGTATTGAAATTTCATATGACTACATGAAATTGATTAAAATTAATAGTAATTGTGAAATACTTAGTTTTCTTTTTGGCAAAAATGTGCTTAGAAAATGAGGGTAAATACTTTTTAAAGAAAAAGAAAGACAAAAGTCATCACTGACTTAAACACCATATGAAAAGATAAGTTTTTATGTCTATATATACGTTATTGGTTTCTACAAGTAGTGCCAGTGCGTGATCCTTTCTGTAGAGACACAAATTGTGGAAATTGGGATGTGTTGGCCTTTTCATTTTTTAACATATTGTGCGCCTATATGACTTTACGTGACACAAACTGTTAGTGTTCAAATTGCACTTGTCATTTGTTTTCTTTATCAAGTTATCACTTCATAGTTAGACATTTTTTTCGTTAATTGCATGAAATTTGAGGAATGGGTCACTGTTGACAGTTTGTGAATAGTATTAGTTATTAAAGATTGTGTATTTTACAGAAGTTTTACATCCTTGATTAAGGCCTTGTGCAGAAACATGCTTAAAATTTGAGATGCTCTGGTTGACCAGATCCTAGATTAAACTAGCGTCCCTTCCATATGAAAGTTCTCACTCAAGTATGATAACTCTGTCTCATGTTGCCCTGTGTGTGTGGATCCTTTCGACAAATGAAATTAGAGAAATATGAGGCTACTAGTAACCATGAAAATGCAAAAACCGATTAAGAAAAACAAGCTTTACATCAAATGAAAAAGTTACATATGAAAAGCAACATTACCGATTAAGAAGTTGACATTAATTGGGATCAGAAAAAAATTAATTTGCCCAAATCTTGGCCTATTCATTCAGTCCTTCATTATCAAGTAAACTTTCCTGCCCGAAAGCTGCAACTTTTTTCCATTCACCAGTGTCCTTATTTAATTTAGTAGGTAAGTAACCACCAACAAACCCCACTTGAAGTGAAATATTTCCCTATTCAATCATTTCCCTTCAACTCAGAATCATTTATTTAGTCCAAAGAAAAATCAAAACCATTAAAGACTTGACCTCTTTTCAACGTAGAGACCAACGAAATTTTAGTTTCAGGGTCCATCAAAAATTGAAAAGGTCAATGAAAAAGGAACGAAAAATATACAAGGGAAATGGCGTCGGCATCTACAACCAAAATATCATGAGATTTGAATAGATTAGAAATATTGCTCTTCAACGATTCTCATTGCCTCCCTTTGATGAGTCCTTGATTCATTGCAGTTGTGTTTGCCATGAACGTAGTTGCGTGTTTTCTTTTGATGCTTCACTTCAGAGCCCTAATATCTGATATTATGCATACATGTTCTGGCAGTAGTTTATGAACTTGTCTTGCTACTGATCATTACTGGATGATTGTTGGATCTATCTGTTATTTTGCATTTTGTTTCAGTGGTTTTGACCGCTGATGTTGTTTTCATGTTGATCCATAGTTGATATTCATTGTCTTCACACTTTCCCCTAATCAAATCGCTTTACTTCTCCAATAGATGGTGGGTTTCAATGGATATTCTATCTTGTTAACTCAAAGAAGGCTGGAATTTTTTCTTTTTAACTTTACATGACCTGAAAAGGCTTGTGGTCTGACACGCCCATCGAACAGGTCACAAGCACAATTATGAGCAGAAATATATATATACACCAGAAAAATGGAGCTTCGCTGAACATTGGACTAGCTAATAGAAGTCTTAGTATGCTGCTATCTGAATATGATAGTATTTTCGACTCTGCTTTGAGTGTATTACCCTCTATTTTATATAACCAGAAGTAAAGTTTTGGTGTGGATACACAACTATGTTCACTAAGGACTGTTTTGGTATATTATCATATCAGGACTATCTTGATGCTTGCTATTGGTATATGAATACAGGGAAATGCAAAGCTTACTCCATGGTGAAATATATCTATAGTTTATACAGGGACTTGATGAATTGATCTTATATGTTTAAACATGTAAATTTCTATTTCTTCGGCGTAGGAAAGTTGAGAAAAGATGGACCATGACAAGACTGGATGTCAAGCTCCTCCGGAAGGTCCTATATTGTGCATCAATAACTGTGGATTTTTTGGAAGTGCTGCCACCATGAACATGTGTTCTAAGTGCCACAAAGACATGATGTTGAAACAGGAGCAGGCCAAGCTCGCGGCGTCGTCTATTGGGAATATTATGAATTCATCAAGCAGCAGTGGAAATGAACCTGTTGTTTCTGCAAACGTGAATATCACAGTCAATACACTAGAGCCTAAAACTACATCCGAAGAACCCTTTTTGGGTTCAGGCTTGAAGGAGAATGGTGAGGCAAAGCCGAAGGATGGACCCAAACGCTGCAGCAGCTGCAATAAGCGGGTTGGTTTGACAGGGTTCAGTTGTCGGTGTGGTAACCTGTTCTGTGCTGCACACCGCTACTCAGACAAGCACAATTGTTCCTTCGATTACCGCAGTGCTGAAAGGGATGCCATAGCTAAAGCAAACCCAGTTGTCAAGGCTGAAAAGCTGGATAAGATCTAGGTCCAATGTATTGAGGTTTCATCCATGAGTTGATGTTATGCTCGATTTCATCATGAGATGACCCGAGTTTCCTCCTTTTTCTTTTATGTTCTTATTATGTTGTATGTGGTCGGGAGCTCGGAATTGTTGGACATCTCTGCAGTTTGAAGCACTATTTCATGTGATTGGAGGAAAAAGATGTTGATCCAAGTGTTTGTCATCTTTAAATCTCTCCTGGTTTGGTGAAAGTTGGCTTATCATTAGCTTTGTAATGCGCCTACTTTGTTCCATATGGCATCTGGGTAACGAGAACCATGTGTAAAATATTGGCACTCTAAATCATGACGGTTTCATAGCAACTATTAAACTTCTCTTGGTAATGATAAGCATAGGGGAAACGTTTGGGTTCGCTGGGTTCCATATACCAGAGTATACAAAATGGCAGGCATGATTTTAAACAAAACAGACATACCAACTTTGGAAGAAAAACGTGATATTTTCACATCAGTGTTATACTGGAGGGTTAGTGCATGTGTAACTCTAATAGTTGTACCTTTTGAACTCGTGGCTCAGCTTATTTCAAGAGATAAAAATACCGTCTAACATTGCCGGTAGTCTTAGGAAACGCAGGAAGAATCATAGACATGAGCATGATGTGAGGATAAAGAAACTGGAATAAACTTTAACTGTTTCAGAATATACGTTTTCAGGAGAAATGGGCAACTAAACTAGGAAATTAATTGTATGCTTGAAAGAAAAATCTTGCCCAAAAGAAAAACTCAAGTTTGAAGACTCTATCTGAAGATTGTAAAGAGGGGGTGGGATCTAATCTAGTGCGATGAACTTGTCACCATGAGCATAGACTCGTGCAGTCTTGGTTCAAAAACAAGAAACCGTGACAGATAAGAACATCTGGAGATGTGTTTCAAATTCCCCAAGGCCCTGACCAAGATTCAGAGAAGACAAATCTAGACGGGCAGGAATCGTAACATCACAAACTTTAATATCACTTGTCCCAAAATTGCTTGTTTTGCCGTATCAAGGTTCAAGGTAACAGGTCCAAGATCCCCCTTCTCCATATAACTCTAACGCAATTTTCTCATTTATTTGTAAATCCAAGAGCTAAACTACAAAACCTGAATGAAATCATCAAGGCAAAATTACAGAGCAAGGCCACCAGACTCTGCTTCCAGATATTTACATATCCTCTCCATGACGTCTCTTCCCTTGGTACTATTCTGAATGAACCTCTCAGCACATCGCTGCTCCACCTTTTCAGCCATGGATGCCAATGCTGACAATGGTTTGATACGGATGCGAGTCTCCTGTTGGCAAATTGTCCACCCATTGGGATTGTCAGGATGAGGATCATATCGTATCTTCTCCTCCACTTCTACAAACTTCTGGAGGCTGATATTACGAGTAGTTAACTGCATCGACCGTGACTGTGCATCAACAACTGTTGATTCAACACAGTGGCAAATATCCTGACCAACAATTTTGCGCACAAACCATGGTCCAGGACAATGGATAGTGATAGCGCGAGTGGTATAAAGCTTCCCAGATGGGGGGTCAAGCTTGCGGTTCAATGTGTCAACTTCTAAGATATGGGATAATATACGCTTGTTCTCAGGGTCAGCAAACTTGCGCCAAGATGCACAAGTTACTCGTTCCCATGGGTGCCTGTAAGTGTATTCCTGCGTGTATGCTTTCACCATAACTGTCCTTCATCATCAACACAACAGCAAATTAGTCAACTCGTGTGAAATTTTCATTTCGCTCATTTATTCCAAAAATACGCATTATTGCTTAAACCACACTTAATCAAATTTTAAATGATCCCTGACATTACAGACACCAAATAAAGCAGTAAGGTAATTGAAGGAAATATTTAGTTCAGATGCAAATATTCATAGGACTTCCATGCCCTTAATAAAACCAATTCTATAAACTAAAGCTAAGAGAAACTTAATCATCATTTACTTCACCCAAGACAACCTATTAATCATCATTTACTTCACCCAAGACGACCTACAAAGTTTTCAATAAAAATTAAAAGAAAAATTCCATTAATTCATGCCGTTCACGATTACATTAGCATCCTGAAAGCTCGGTTTGCATGTTTCGTCTACCCAGGAACTATGAAGGAAGGGAGCAAAAAAATAAAATAATAAACACACATACACACAAACAGACAACAAAGTAGCGTTTGTTCGAGAGAAACAGCCCTTGAGTAGCAAGGTCGGGCTGGGTAAGAGAAATGATAAAGATTTGCAAGGATTTCCTTCACAATTAGAAAGAAATGGAAAAAAGGAATTTGAGCGCGGAGCAGAAGACAGGGGAGATGAGACCAAAAACGAGATTGGAGAAGGGAAGGAATCAGAGAGACGAAGGCAATACCTCGCACAAAATCAACGGAGGCTGGAAGATCCCAGCGGGAGGGAGAGGGAGAGACGGGGAACGAGGGGACAAAGATCCGAGCCGACTAGTACAGTGAGAAAGGAGTTGGGGCAAGGGGGAGTGTTGCGAACCAGGCGGCCATGTGTGTTTGTTTGGGCCTTGACCCATTGAAATCATTGGGTCGAGACCCCACAAAGATTGGGCCTTTTCTACCCAAAGATCCACATTGTCTTTCCACAAGGGCAAAACATCTCCCCGGGCATGACCTTGTGTAATTTTTTTAATACAGGAGCGAAAAGACGCGATCCATTTCTGATTTCACGCACAACTTGATGAATTGTTTGTCCTTAAACTGTTCTCTTTCATGCCATGCTCTCTCTAATTATTTGTTTTCCTTACAATCTGAATTATACTTTTACTGCCAATGACATCAAACAAAATGGGAGAGACAAAATTTCGTTTTTAACCAAAAAAAAAAAAAATTGCTTCCCACTGACACCCTGTGCTTCCTCGTCAACCGATAATTATCAATATTCATATATGTATCCGTGCGCGTGTGAATAATAAAGTTCCATATCTTAAGAATATATAATTCTGGAAAGTTTACAAGGTTCGTGTCGCATAATGCTCACCAAAAACTTGTTGATTTCCGTAATCACCGACCTAATATACAAAGCAGCCTCAAACAAATACTCAAGTTCTCGATCGACTCTTCCCGTTTTATAGCACGAGATGAAAAAGACAACGCCTCGACTTTACAACTTCATCATCATTTTTCAGGACCGGCTACTTAAAACTAAATCCAAAAGAATAAAATATCTTGATGTGTACGCTATTAGAAGACTCGACCCAAAAAAAAAAAAAAAAGGAATGCAAGCATAACAAACTCAACGATAATAAGACTTCAAATATGAGAAAGCTAAGAATTTTGGGTCGCATATTATCACAGAGTTATTGACAATCGACGTATATATCTGCGTTCTGAGCATTGAATCCATCAATCGCATGTTCATTCCACGATAGATTTGCTTCAACATTTATCCGTCTTACTTAAACCATCACCCAATAATAATAAATATGTACTGCGGCTGGCTTTTTTAAGCACTAAGCAAGTCCAAGTCATTAGGCATTCAAATAGACTCACATGCAGTGCACCAACACATTCCATGCAAATTTCAGCCTTTGAAATTTTCTCTTGTTATCTCCAGTGTTTTCAAAATGAACACAGCTTAAACTACACCAGTTGATGAGACTTTATTTGCTATATTTATACTCATGAAATGAAGTCCTTTTATGAAAATTTTCTACTATATATATATATTCATATATAATCAGTGATCTCACTCTCATTTCCTGTATATTGTTTCCTTGACTAATTCTATTTGTTACGTTATGATCTGATTTTAAAATAATCCAGACATTAAATGACAGTTAGGGTCGAAAGACTACATCACCGGAAAGTGTAATTTCGGCTCATCTAACATTTTTTTCAGCCTAAGTCAAATAAATCAACCTAGATGCTCTATCGGGCAATAAAGGCATGGTTTCTTTTCTTTTCTTTTCTTTTTTGCCAACAATTAAGGCATGATTTCTTAATTAGTTAATCGTCCAAAAAAACTAATTAACTCATTTTAACGAAACGCAACTAATTATAATGTTTTACACAGTCAAAATAATAAAGCCTTTGATCCAGAACTTTCGAAATATATGATTATTGAGCGAATATGTTAGGGGGCTAAATTAACATTTTAAATAAGTAGAAGAGTAAAATTAAAACAAATAAATAAACTATAAAACTAAGATAATACGAAACTTACTTTTCAAATCCGCCGTACGGTGATTTTCGCAGCACATCAGTGCTTATAAATGAAAACTTGGTTGCTTCGCTAAAAAGGCCCATAGTTAAATACCCTCATCATTCTAATAAGATTGTATATATGCAGGAGTTAAAATCATTTAGCACTACCGAAAACGAACAATTAATATTTGATACTACCTCTAGTCCTAATTATAAGAGTCAATTGACTAACTTGAAGAGATTAAAAAAGTAAGTTGAGTTAGTTATTTATCCTAAATATGTGTTGTCTTTCTTAAAATATCCTTGCTAATCAAGTGTATTGACAGAACTATCATTGTTAGAAAGACTACTTTGGGAAAAAAATGTATAAATATGAGAGACAAAGTGGATTGGAGTCTTATATTTAGAATCAAGATAAAAGTCAAATAGGATCTTATATTAAGGACTAGAGATAGTATTTGATATTCAATATTCACAACCTCGAAGGCGTCGATCAAAATAATATTTGATGTCGGAGGTGAAGCAATAATATAATGCTGGGTTTCTCCTATGATATATGTTCAGGCACTTCTCTCCCGATGAACTTCAGCATCTATCAAGAGCACGTGAAGAGGTTTGCAACAATAGAGATATAACTAACGAACATTATAATTTAAAACCGTTATAAAATGTGAGCCGTCTGCATACAAAATTTGGGCAACCCGTTCGTGCCCATATATTGCAAGACCGACCCAACCCTGATCGCCAATATTGCACGTCGTATATGTAAGTCAGTGCTTCTTCGCTACCAAGAGACCTAAATCAAGTGAAAGACAACAACTTGTTACAATACCAGAATGAAGAACATTGCTTCCTCCCCAGTCATTGCGTCCAAAACAAACTATTTTCCATAACTTTTTCTGGTTGCGAGAATGATAAGAAACAAAGAAAAAGTGAAGACAAAAGAAAAAAACTGTCTGGTAGTTAGGTTGGCCCCTCCTCCTCCGATCCTCCTTCCTCACGGATCATTCATTCCACATAGTAAAGAGAGCAGCATTGGATCCCTGCATGGACTCCGACGGCCAGCCGCCGCCGTAACCACTGGACGGCATGTTGTAGTTTTCAACCTTCACCAGCGCCAGCTCCTCCGCGGATCCCCCCGACGTCGTGTTGGAAGCCATCCCCATATACCCTCCTCCACTGTAACTCCCACTAGACCCTCCGTCATTGTCCATCACAGAAGAAGAACAAGAACCCATGTTCATCAAACCCTGAAGCAGAGCCGGGTGGTTCTGAAGATAGCTATTGTACAACTGAGCGTTATTACTCGGTGACTGGTGAAAGCTATAGTTAGAAGAAGCAGTTTGATGGTGCAGCTGAAGCTGGGTTTGGATATAACTGGGATGATGAAGTGACGGGTACTGAGATATCTCCTGGTTCTGCAGGCTTAACAATGGTTGCGTCTGATCCAACTGCATCAGTGGGTAGGCTTGTAGTTGTAGCCTGCTAGAACTGCCGCTTCCGCTGCCGCTGCCGTACTGAAAGCTCGATCCGAGCGCTATCATTTCCTCTCTCTTCCTGGAACATTCCAGAGCCTGAGCTTCCTTCAGTCGTTTCGCAGCTCCTCCTCCGATTGGAAGCGTGTTGCTTTCAAGTATGGCTTTCACGTCGTAACGGCTCATGTCGAAGTTTGTCACTGCGTTTAGTCCTCTGAACTTGATCGCCGCTATGTCGTATGCTTCTGCAGCTTCTTCCTCAGTACCTGCAATTAATAATACACCATCATTCAAATTAATTTAGTTCTTGTTTTCCGATGTGTATTATTTGCATGCAACTACTGAAAATGGAGGCTCACTGAAAGTTCCCAAGTAAAGATCTTTGTTTCCCGCAACTCTACCGATCCTTGCCTGCCATCTACCATGTTGATGATGCCTGCAATAAAATATGTTGCGCGAGTTACTACAGAATACTAAGTGACAAACCAAAAGAAGGAAAACCCAAAAAAATAAAATAAAATAAAGGATTGGATATAAAGTAAGTAATGACACAAAAAGCTCGAACGCACAATCAGATGCATTATCGCACCTTGTGACTCCGCGATACATTGATGCGCCCCTTGAGAACCCACTGCTCTTCCTGGAAAACATAACCAGCAAAAATTGATTATACAGTCAGCAACGTCGAACAATACCATAACATTCATGTGGGTACCATAAAGGAAGAAAATTTTTTTGCCTAGTACATATTATTGACTGATTAATGACTAGTAAAAATTAGTGCATGCTAATTGCAAGTTTTCACCTTCGTATGGCGGCCACAAATTCTTGTCTTGTCATGTGCTTCATCTCCTCCAGCTCCTTTTCGTAGTTACTGATCTGCGACATCATCAAAAAGGCTCTTATAAACCTGATCCATTATGTTGGAACCGCTCTAGCTATAAAGCAATAGGGACATTTATAACTTACTGGAAAGTTGGTAGTTGTGGATGTTCCCCAGTACTTTAGTGCCGCTAAATCGTAGGCCCTAGCTGCTTTCTCTTCTTTGTCATATCCACCTGCCAAAAAGGGCGATCACTTGTGTATGTAAATTATTTCAAGGTTAAAACAGAAAGGTTGGAAATAATTGTCACGGGAGAGACGCTTACCCAAATAGACTACAGGAACTCGGCCGATGAGAACCAAGACATACAACCAAAGAGAATAAAATGAACAATCAATATGTTAGCTCAGAAATAGAAATAGTTAATTATAAATTTCAAATTAAAGCGAAGGAAAGAGAGGAAGAAGCGCTGGAAGCTGCTCGGATATTTTACCTTGGCGTCCCTTTCGTGATTGCCCTTCCCTTCTACAACTATTGTCCCAAAGATGAGCTTCATACCTTCCAGTCCATCTATGTCTGCATATAGTTATTGTATAGTTACACCCACCATCAACAAAAAACAGCAATAAACACACAAGTGTTTCAGAAAGTACATTAATTTAAATTCATAGTTTTGTAATATTCAGTAAAATGATTAAACGAAACAAACAAGACCTATCAAGATGCTACCTGGTTACACCGCGATAGATTGATGTTCGCTGACCGAATGTATCTAAAGTTCTTCTGGGTGCAGCAGCTTCGACGGCAGTATTAGTACTATTGTCGCCACTGGTTTCACAGGTAGAATCCTTACCACTACCCATGGATAATGTCAAAGACTGAATTTCATTAAAGTTCTGACTGATTCCAGACTGTGCAACCTTTGGAACTTCATCGTTGCTTCCGTGTGTATTCATCAGATTCCAATCTGCGCATTCAAATAACATATGGGGAAAAAATACAACTAAAAAAAAAAAAAACAAAGAAGGAAAAAAGAAGAAGAAGAACAGATACAGGTCGACTTCCCCTGATGGCAGTGCGAACTAGTTGAAATAAGTTATCCAACCTCTTAATTACCTATTCAACTCCAAAGAAGAGAGAGAAAGAGGGGACGGTACCGTGGTTTTGGAAAGGGTTTTCCATGGAATCATTGACTAAGCCAAGAGAAAACTGATGGGATTGAGTGGCTTGGAGTTGTGGAGGTAAGGAAGACTGAGTAGGGGAAAGAGGGAAGGATAGCCAGTTGTTTGAGTTCATTGAGCCCATAGCTTCAGGAGAAATCAAGAATCACCTGCATCTAATAAAAACTTGAAATATTGAGATCAGATATGGAAGTAATAGCAAAGGAATCAAAGCAAGTGTGATGATGAGAAAGTAGAGTCGAGAGCTAAAAAGTTTACCCAGGGGCAGAGGAGAGAAGGATTTAAAGCAGCGAAGGTGAAGCCTTAGTTTCTTCTGTCTTTCAAACTTTCAAGTTTGAAGCTTAAGATAAAGGAGGAGGAGGAGGGGGCTGAAAAGAAAAGAAAACATTTTGAAGAGAGGCGCATAATATTTAAAGGGCACCCCTCTCTCCTATACCTCTATCCTATCTCTTAATAATACTTTAATTCAATCGTCAGGCTACTGTGCCAACCTTTTTTCAGTGGTCATTTTTGGACTCGGACGCTTTTCCCACCAGTTCCCAAGATTCAAAAACAAAGTTATAATCTGCCTACAATGATTATTAAATAATATTTACGTTGGAGGATATTTATAAAGGAGGACACGAGTGTCATACTAAACAATGACTCAAACTCCTTCAGTCTTTGTACAGAGACAAACCCACCATTCCAACTGGAAAAATCCAATCCCTCTTTCTCTCCTCGCTCTCTCTCTCTTGCCCCACTTGGGTGTATTGGAACTCGCGTCCTCGTTCCGTGAAATAAATGACTCCCGAAGGCCCAGCATTCCCACACTCTGCAAATCATCTCCCACTCTTAGAATCCACTCTATACGTAAAGTTAGACTACCGACCTCTCTCTCCCTCCCTCTCTCCATATATATATATATATATATATATATATTGTGTGTGTGTGTGTCATATTTATTCTAGCAGCAGCATTAACTAAGGCTCCGTTTGATTAAAAAAATGTTCCCTTTTGTTTGTTTTGTATCATATCTAGTTATATTTCAACTTTTGCTACGTGCCACAATAATATCATTTTCAATCACCATGAAATATATCTCTCTGTATATCTATCATCATCGTCAATTAAGTTGATAGCAGACAACGTACATTCAGTTCAGATAAGTAAAATTTTTTCTAGCTACACAAGTAGGATCGGTTAAGACGACGAAATTAAAAAAATCAACTTTACGCAACAAATAGTGATAAAAATATGAGATTGAACAATAAAAAAGAAAGAATACAATTCCAGTCGAATGCATTGACAGAGAAGACGAGAAAATAGGTTTTTACCAAAGAAACCCCAAGTTGTGGATCCCCGAGTGATGCATGTGTTAAAGATGATTGTGTACGGACATGCAGTATTTTATGAGAAATTATGACATATTAAATAATAAAAGTACTGAAAGAAAGAGTAAGAAATACTCTTGTTCAAAATAAGACCAACCCGTTGATATATCAATATTAATTTATTAAGGTGATTTGATTAAATGGAAATTAAGAAATATAATATAGAATTCTAAGGATTTCCTTTGGTTATGGCCCCGAGCAGAAATCTGTTGACCACCTAATCGGTTTTCGCACCCGTCAAAAGGAGGCCCGTGGAAATTAACAGGTTAAAATTTAAAAAGAGAAGCTCAGGTTCATGTCCAATTCCTATCCACACTCGAAGCTTGTATTCTTCGGTGGCTCTGGTTCATCCTATTAGGCCAAAATCTGGGATTCGCAAACATAAGATCTTTTTAGCCATTCTCTATGCAGAATGATCTTCCCCCCTCCTAGCATTTTTGACCTAGTGTATCTTCATATCCAAAGGAAATGATTACAGAACATGGCACGAAACTCTTTTACGGAATGTGTAATCTTTTTTCAATACATGCATAACAGTGCAGAAATTTAAACTCCGTAAGTATTATTATCAAGTACGTACAGCTCCGGTTATCAACTTAAAGTGCAACTTAGACATAGCTGTTGCTCTCATTAATTTAATAATACAATGGCCCAAAGTTAATATATAGTAGCTACTACATTGGAAAGTCTTATTGCGCAACAATTAAATAACACCTCCATAACCGCAAATAATGTACATATATACAAATCTCTCACTAAAAACCTACCCCTTATGGTGTAGATAAAACAATAAATTTGAATTTTGTTAATAAATACTAATATACCTAAAATAACCATGCCCCCTGTTGTGTGAATTAGCCTCATATTTCCCTATTTCCTAATCTGATTATATGGCACCACCAACAGGTCATATTTCCCCATCTCACTGATAAGCATTGGTACTGTATATAAAGTGTTAAAAATTGACAAGCCAGTTTGTTTCTTTCTTTCTTCTTGTATATGTATATTGATGAACAGGTGCGACTTGCGAGTGATAAATTTTATGTTGTCAGCAGTTATTTCTCCTATAAATAGAAACATATATCCTCTACTGTAGTGATGCCAAATTGTTTAAAACCAGAAAACCACATTTAAGGGCCCTCTCAATGATTGAGAATTTCAGGCTTGACTTTATGTTATACATACAATGTTTTAAAGGGACAGTAGTGATGCCAAATGGTTTACTTAATTGGTTGCTGTCAGCAAGTGACCTGTAAACTAAACTTATCTGTATATTATTCTGTGAATATGTAAACTGCATAAATTACTAGTATAAATACAAAAGTTTCCTATTATAGCTAGTTGCCAAATAATGATCCATATATATATATATATATTTCGTGTAAAGAAAAAGTGGATATATATATTTATATTTATATACACATTGATGAGGATGTGTGATGTAGCGCCAGCAAGAATGGATCACATTTATGTTATGCATGCATGTCACCTTTATTTTTTTTAAAGTGTTACTTGGAGGATGAAGTGAGAGAGAAGAGTGGAAGCGCCGCTATTTATATATGTTTGTGAAGAAGAGAATATGAAGGATTCCTAGCTTGTCAATATTTTCTGGGTATGCAGTTTCAGAGGAGGGGCCAGTGAGTCCATGTTTCTATGATTTATAAACTGATATGGCTTGCTGAGCAGTTCAGACTTCAGAGAGAGGAAAGCCATCGGCAACGTTGGAACCAAGGCACCAAGAATCTAAACTGATGATTAACTATCGTATATATTTGGACTGCACTAATATTAATTAAAGAGTGGGATTAATTAAAATATTGATAGTACCTGTCATTGTTGATGACGCACTGTTGCAGCCAAATTCTTGCACTTAAAGAAAAGGCTATTTTGACCGAAGTGCACCACAATAAGGGAGCAAAACCCCACGTCTCTCGCTGTCTTCGATTCCAAACTTGCTTTCTTTTTCTTTTTTTTTTCTTCCCTTTTTTGGGGTCTAATTTATTCAGTTTTTGTGGAATGAAAAACCTTCACAAGCGGTGATAGTCCCTGAATCTAAACCTCTGAAACGCATGGGCGCATGGCTGTGGATGCACAAAGAAACAAATAAAAAGGAGGAGAGGGGAAGCAAAAGGCCAAAACCCTTTTGTCCGTCTCTATTAGACTCGGACGAAAAAGAAGAAAAATGGCATGTGAAAAGAAGGAAGAAAACTTAAAAAAAAAGTGGCGAAAAGAACAGGAAGAATCTGTTTCTCTCTCTCTACCCCTCGCACTCTTTGGAAAATGTGGAGGTGAAGCAGAGAAGAGGAAGAGGAAGATGAGGGGGGAAGGGGGGGTGATTGGGCGTCGCCCTTATTCGGTCAACCAGTCACGCCGTTTCAGAGGAATGTGACTGACACGTGTCGGTTGTCGTCTCATGCTTGGGGCTCCCTTTTAAAGTTGGTGCCAGAGGGGCCAATTATCCGGTGTGCATGCCTGCGCTACAAAACGCTTCTCACCAAAAGAGCTTTGACCGCCCTGTGACCCCCGTAATTACCTCATTGCCCCTCCCTGTCGTTCCAAGTCTCAAGTCATTATGACATTCAATTCCGATCCGCGCATATCCATGCAGCCAAATACTGGAGTGTTCATCAAGAGTGCTAGTCGCATTCATCTCTGCATTTAATTTAACAAGGGGTCCGCGTGTAGAGAAGAGAGGGATAGGAGGGTAAAATAGAGGAGAAGATGGAGGGCAAAGAGGGGAGGGAGGTTGGGGGGGCGAGAATCCAGAGAAATAGAAAGAGGTGGGAGGAAACGCCGGGAAAGTGCTCGTGTCGCCTCGAAATAAGGCGCTGGAAAAAGGGTAATGCGTGTTGGTGTTTGGTGGGATGCCTCAATGGAAGAGTAGGCTTATCGACTTCATTTAAACCCTAACCCTAACCCTAACCCTAATTTTGGTTAGCCTACGATTAGGTTTGTTCCTTCCTTCCTTCCATCCCTTCCCCCCTTCTCAGGTCAGCTTGTTCATTTACTCCCTCCCACCCCTCAAAAACGAACAAACAAACAGCCCTCTTTTTGTGGGCTCCTATCTCGTGCATGTGTTCCTTCGTACTGGGATTTGGAATACATAGAAGTTTGAGTTTTTTAGCATTTCGCAATTGGCCTTCCTCTTGCTTGGAGTGCGCACTCCTAGAATTCCTCTCCACATTGCCCTTCTCCCTTTCTACTATTTTTATATTTCTGCCTCTCCCTTCCACTTCATTCTCTTCTCTTGCTAGTATTGTGTTTTGTGTGCATCTTTCTTCATCTTTATCAAAACTGGCAGCTCCTTCCCATCATTTTTCATAGGACACACACAGGAGATGTTTTTCTGGTCTTTTTTTATGGACTGAAATATTTCTTCTATCTTTTTCACACTGTCCTTATTTAATATCGATCTACGTTTTTTTTTTCCCAATTTGGCTCTTCGATTCCTCAGATGGTGCTATGTTTAATGAGAATAAGTCGGAACCGTTGTTAATTTCCAAATAGAGTTGATGAATTTTAATAAGACTTGCTTTAAATCTGGTGAAAATGCTGAAAGTAGCTTAAAAAAAGGATTGGAAAGAGAGATGTGGATACTGTGTGTTGCACTTGCACAGAGCCTAAATAGTGAATCATATGCTCATGAATGATATAGCTTGTAGTTGAGTTTTTTTTTTTCAATCATGGTAGTTGAGTTTTTATATTAAATTTATAAAAATTCTAAAATAAATAAAGGGCTATTACGTATATGTCACAATGTTAGATAAATAAAAGTTCCATTAATTTAGTGATTTCGAAGATGCACGAATCGAGCCAAATTTTGACTATGTCTGGGTGGTGGCCAAATTGGGCAAGCCCTCCTCAATATATCAATTACATAGAAAAATTCGAATCGTCAAAGTGTTGCTGCAAGGAATCATATCAGTTCATTTCAATATGTCCGTTAGTTCAAAGGGATGATCGGACAA